ACCCCCCAGAGGGGATGACCACTACGCTAACTGCTGGTCCCTCTCAATGCCTTTTAGGGAATAAAATGTTTACATATAATAAGAGGCACAGATTTTAAGTATACTGTTCAGTAAGTTTTTTTTTTTTAATTAATTTTTTTTTGGAAGATTTTTGCTATTAGGCGCGTTTGATCGCCAGAAAGGCAGAGAGACAGAAAGTGAGAAATCATCCCCCCCCAGTGGGTATGGTCACTCTGCAATCCCTTCTCCTCCATTCTCTTCCTGGGATCTTGGGCACACACGCACATGCTCCTGGCATGAGTTTAAGCCACTGGGTCTAGGATTCAAACCGTGGTCGGCTACCTGGGAGTCCAGTGACATAGCCATTATGCCAACTGCTGGTCCCTAAAAAATTATTTTATTTAACTTTATTATTTTTCAATTTGACCTCAGTTGGCCATGTGGGAGTTCAGCGCCCTTAACCACCACACCACCTGCCGACCTCTCAAGAGTATTTTTCTTTCAGTAAAATTTTTTGTTTTTTTGTACAAATCTTGCAAACTTAATGGTGCTAGCTAGTGACTATTTGTTAAGAAGCTTTTGAAATGCTTCTATGAGAATTACATAAATACATGATTTAAAATTTTTTTCTTAACCTGGCTTTTCTTTGAACAATCTGTCTATTTCCTCAGGTTGGACAGATACAAGTTATTTTAGTCCTGTGTTAATTTAAGCCTATAAACATCAATTCAGAAAGCTGTGTCAATATAATTAAACTTCCCAGGAGTCCTGTGTCTGGTTTTCTCACATAGTGAACTGTTTCATTTGTAATCTAGAATTTAATGGAAAACATGCTTTGAAGTACTGGTTAGTTGAGGGACAAGAGTGAGTCAGTCTATGCTGAGTCAAGTCCTGATAATGAATATCAGAGAAATAAAGGACTTTAAAGTTGGCTATATTGAAAATTCTGAGCAACTAGTCAAGTGGGCATCAAACCAGTGAAATAAAATACTTTTCCCATCCCCCTTTCAAAAAAAAACCGAGTAGCTTCCTGAACTCATGTCAGAAGATTCTCTTGGTGCTTATGTTGCAAGGTTGACAGCAGTTTCGCTGAGTCGCACCTTGGTTTTTCAGGCCGTTCCTCTTTTTTTCAGGGAGATAAGTAGAATAGAAACTTAAAATCTTGTGCTCATAGGGCTGGCTCAGTAGGGTGTTTATTAATGCAACCAGATGCCATATGACCAAACATGAAGGTTTGAGTCCCAGGCTGGCAGTTTGAAAAATACACTGGGCACACGTGTATGGCCCAAAATCCCCTAAAGAGAGAGAGATGGAACAGAAAGATTGTGGTGTGACCATTTTCCAGGGGTGTGTATGTGTGTGCTTTTTCCTCCTCGTGGTTTTCTGTCTCTCTAGTGAGTATAAGTGCCCCTGCAACAAAAACGAACAAACAAACAAAATTCTGTGTTTGTGGGATATTGTGGTTTCTAGTTGTGACATTGAAGGCACTAAACAGGGGCTGTGTGGAGGTAAAATGAGCCTGTTTTTAAAAAAATTATTATTATTAAGTATTATTATTTTTAAAAAGAATTATTTTATTTAACTTTATTTATTTATTTATTTTAATTTGACCAGAGAGGGTCAGAATGAGAGAGAGAGGGAACATGAGAAAGCAAGCTGCCAGGTTCGGGACTTGAACCTCAGTCGGTCATGTGGTAGTCCAGCGCCCCTAACTGCCACATCACCTGCCGGTCCTGAGCCTGGTTTATTCAGTATAGCCTGTGACCCCACATTCTGTGCCAGCATAGGCTGCTGAAGTAATTCCAAGAGAGCTTAGTTCTCGATTGCGGATATCATTCGACTTTAGGTAGTAGATGCTGTGCAAGGTGGAAAGACAGCATGATGCTCAGAGGTGGGAACAGGGTAGGGCCGGGGGCATGGACATACTCAGCCCCTGGGGTGTAGAGTCTGCACACCAGTATCTGGGGAAACTGCTCTCATATATTATTCTCACATGTGAAGAGTTGAAGACTAAATTTTCCACTAAGTAGAAAAATAATATTTCAGACCTCGTACTCGGCTCACTATTCTATTGAGAACTGCACTGTCCAATAGAGCTTTCTACAGTGTTGAAGATCTTCTAGACCCGTCCTGTCAAATACAGTGGCCACTAGCCTCAGTGTATCCAGTACTTGAAATGAGGCTAGAGTAACTGTAATTGTAATTGAATTTTAGTTATTGTATTTAATTAATTCTACATCAATTATTTATTTTTCTTCATTTTAATTAAAATATGAATAGCTACACATGCCTAGTGATTACCGTAGTGGACAGAATATTTAGAATATTTGAGTAGAATAGTAATAGTAGTCAGATAGAACAATAATAATCATACAACTAACTCGCTGTGCTTTTAGCTCTGAATAACAGAAAACCTAACTAGGGCAATAAAGATATTTGCTGGTTAATTTGGGGACACCCTATGGATTGCTCCTGGCAAATTCAGTAGCACCTGCCGACCTCCTCTTCACTGGCCACCTACCATTACAGAGCCAGATTTTATTTTCTCAGATTCCTAGTCCTGACCAGTGAGACATGTGGGAAAGTTAACCTCGGGGCTTTGGGAAAGTTTCAGTATTTTATGAGAGATGAATGGTAACAGGGAGCTGTATAGCCTTCTCTTCTTCCTGCCTTAAGTATGATGCCTGGGGTTTCCACAGCCACAAAGTCACTGCCGGCCCCTCCAACATTTTCTTTTTAAGATATTTTTATTATAGAATGCGTGTGCTTGCTAGAGAGACAGAGACAGAGAGACAGAAAATGAGAAATCACCCTCCCAGGGGGTTAGCCCCACTGCAATCCCTTCTCCTCCATTCTCCTCTCAGATTTTGGGCATACATGCACATGTACCCGTCATGAGTTTTAAGCCGCTGGGTCCAGGACTCAAACCACAGTCGACTACATGGGAGTCCAGCAACGTAACCACTATGCCACTTGCCGGTCCCTCCAACATGCTTTTAAAAATAAGTGTGTGGTGTTCACCATGTGTATATTCTTTGACTGAATTGGCATTTCCAATTTTTCCCTGTAGTGAACATCCATGATTCTCAATTTATCTGTGATGTTGTGTATTTCCCCTGTAAGCAGTGCCCCCAACATTTGGTGTCATTCTTCAATTATTTTCCAGTGATACCTTTACATTTTCATTCCTTTGAAAATGAAATTTCTTTTATACCTTTGCTTACTCAGGAGCACGATCTCGTTTAGCCTCTCTCTGTAAACTAAGCGATTGCTTGGTATTCTTTTGTGAATAGTCTGTTTAGGAACCGTAAATTAATACATTTTAGTCAGTGTTGGTCTTTCCTTATGTTAGGAAAGGTGGGAATAAAGGAAGGGTATTGGCTGACATTTTTGAAAGAGAAACATATCTTTATTCCCTAGTAAATAAATTCTTTAAAATGTTCAGTGTTTTCATCAGTCATCTCTGTATAAATGTAAGCCATATGGGTCAACAGGTGGCACAGTAGTTAAGGTGGCTGGATCCCACATGGCTGACTATGCAGTTGGAGTCTGGGGCTGCCTGAGAATCCCACTGGGTGTCTGCGCTTGCACATATGCTCAAAATCCTGAGAGGAGAATGGAGGAGAAGGGATTGTGGTGTGGCCATTCCCGCTGGAGGGTAATTTCTTTTTTTTTTTTTGGAGAGATTTTCGCTATAGGGCGCGTGCGCTCGCCAGACAGAGAGAGACAGAGAGACAGAAAGCGAGAAATCATCCCCCGGGGGGATGGTCACGCCGCAATCCCTTCTCCTCCATTCTCCTCTCGGGATCTTGGGCACGCACGCACACGCGCCCGGCGTGAGTTTTAAGCCACCGGGTCAGGGACGCGAACCGCGGTCGACTACGTGGGAGTTCAGCGACATAGCCATTACGCTAACTGCTGATTCCCAACTGGAGGGTAATTTCTAACTTTCTCTCTCTCTCCGGAGAGTACATGCTCCATAGCAAACTAAAAAAAAAAAAAATTAAAAAAAATTATTTATTATTATTTTAATTTGACCAGAGAGAGAGAGAAAAAGCGAGA